GCTCACAGCCCCTCCCCAGGCCAGCCCCACCCCTGATCCCCCCACCCCAAGAGGGGGCAGGGCTGGCCAGCCAATTTCCTGCAGCCTCTCCTCTCGCCCAGCCCGACCCCAGATTGCCCCCCCTGCCACCGCAATCAGGGGCAGGGCTGGCTGGCCAACCACCCATGGCTCCTCCCCCAGGCCACTGGCCCCGATCACCAACCCCCAACCCATTTTGGGGGGTGGTTGCCCAGCCCACCAACCACAGCTCCTCCCCATGGCCAGCCTCTCCCCCAATTGGCCCCCCAACTCCAATCAGGCTGGTGAAGGGGGGCAGTTGGGAGCAATCAGGCCGGTGGCAGGGGGTAGTTGAGGGCAAACAGGCTGGCAGGGGAGGCAGTTGGGGGGGATCAGGGCGGCAGTTGGGGGGGGTCAGGCTGGCAAACAGAGTGGGTAGGGGCAATCAGGCAGGCAGGCAGGCAGGTGAGTGGTTAAGAGCCAGTGGTCTTGAATGGCAAGAGGGATGTCCGACTACTGATGCAGGATTGGTCCTAAACCGGCAGTCTGACATCCCCCAAGGAGTCCCAGATTGGAGAGGGTGCAGGCCAGGCTGAGGGACCCCCTCCCCCCAGTGCACGAATTTCGTGCACCGGGCCTCTAGTCTATATATAAAAGCCTAAGTGACCTTTATGACTGGTTGCTATGATGTGCACTGACTACCAGAAAAGATGCTTAATTCAGAAGCTGTCCCCTGGTGGTCAGTGCTCTCCCACAACCAACCTCCCTGGCCATCCAACCTCCCGTGGTCCCTCCTCTCGACTGGCTGGCCCTGATCATCCCCAATGGGGACTAGGTGAGATGGCCTCCATGGCCCCGATTGCTGGCCAGGCCGAGGGAACCCGCCCATGCACGAATTCATGCACCAGGCCTCTAGTATATATAGAAGGCTAATATGCTAAGTGTCCCTCTGCCCATCTGACTGGTTGCTGTGACACACACTGACCACCAGGGGGAAGACGCTCAATACAGGAGCTGCTATGATGCACATTGGCCATTTACAGAGAAATGACTGTACAGACCTTGCACTGACAAAGCAACACTTGGCTTCCCCTAAGCGGGATACAGGTCTCACCACTACACCAGAGTGACAGCCCACCAAATCACAGCTGACGCTGCCTTGGCGCAAAATGTGGCCCACAGCCCAGCCCAGACCGGAAACAGTTGCTGTGGCTGCCCGGGTAATGAAGTCACGTAGCAATGCCTGGCTTCCTCTCTCCCTAGCGACAACTAGCCTCCTTGCAGTTTCCTCAGCCCAGGAACACAACTTGCTTTATAGCCAGGAGCAAACATTTCACACTTTAACCAAATGTCTGTGAAGTGTTTTCCCATACTTCATCTCATTTGATCCTCACAGAAGTCCTGGAGTAGGTAGATAGGAGACTCAGTAGAATCTTGTTTTCTTTTCATTAGCCAGAAAACGGAGATTTAAAAAGTTTAGATACTTGACCCAACTAAAAAGAAGTAAGAAATGATGGATCTTGAAAATGACTTCAGGTTTTCTCACTGCGCAGAATATAGTCAAACACTGCTGCAGTTAAATATTTTACCCTTTGTTCTCCCTGTGTGATCTACAATAATAATGTGCTTTGTGTAGATATTTACTGCTGTATTGCTGACAATTACCTGAAAGAGAAGTTGGGGTGCTTCACTGGGCTGGAAAAAGTTTAGCTACATTAGAAGAGTAGGTCAAATTAAGC